GTTCTGATTTGGATCCATCTACTCTAAATGATATTTTATTTTTACGGCCAATTGAGAATAATAGAAAGAAGAATTGATCGATATTAAAAGTTAAAAATTCTTTTCTTTTATTTTTCTTTCTTGAAATTTTTTCAATATACAATAAAATAAATTATATTTTCAAATGAAAAAAATTATTTTTGTAGACGAAGCGAGGCGAAGCGAAGCGGGGAGAGCCTCTGGCGAAGCGAGGCGAGGCGGGGTGGACTCTTCTCGGGGCGAAGCGAGGCGGGGTGAGATTTTCTCGAAGCGAAGCGAGGCGAAGGATGAAAAATCATCCCCGTTTCGGTCTCTGATAACTATAAATTTTTGTTTTAGCTTCTTGTTGTTAACATTTTAGATGTTTCGTATTGCTCTAGTGACTGGTGCTGCTCGAGGAATGGGACGTGCCATAGCTCTTCGTCTTGCACGAGATGGACTTAATGTAGCTGTTGATGATATCAATTTAAATTCTACTGAACTTACTGATACCCAAAAAGAAATAGAAAAACTTGTTCGAAAATCTTTTGTCATTATTGCTGATGGTTCCAATGAGAAAGCAGTCGAAATAATGATGAAAAATGTTGCAAAAGAATTAGGAAGTTTGAATGTATGTACAATAAATTTATCTTCCGTTTACTTCATTTTTATTTTCTATAAATCATAAACGTCGTAGTGGCTAATGATGGAGTTTGTCCAATACAATCTCTGATTGAAATAACTGCAGATGAATGGGATAGGGTATTGGCTGTGAATCTACGTGGAGTTTTTCTTTGTTATAAAGAAGCTGCAAAAGTAATGATTGTTCAAGGTAAAGGTGATAAAATTATTGGTGCTTGTAGTATGGTTGGCCACATGACAATGCCATTGGTGAGTCATTATTGTGCCGGTAAATGGGGTGTTCGTGGTCTTACAAAGGCTGTCGCGATAGAACTCACTCAACACAAGATCACAGTTAATGCTTATTGTCCTAGTATGTTTCACACTTTTGCAACCACAAATCTAATATTCTGTTATAGGATCTGTTGAAACTCAGCTGGCTGACTTATGTATTGAGCAAATGGTAACATATGAAAAAGTGTCAAAAGAAGAAATCTACAAAGGTTGTTCGCCAAAGATTCCTCTTGGACGTATAGTTAGACCTGATGAAATAGCAAATTCTGTCTCTTTTCCTGCTAGTGAAGAATCAGACTATATGACTGGACAAAGTGATATAATCGATGGAGGATTTTCATTGTCTTAAGTTTTAATTATTTTATACTGAAGAGATAAGCATGATATTTTATGGAACACGAAATGAAAGAATATAATTCGGTAGGTATGGATGTAGCCAGAGGCATATTCAGGAATTTTCAATCGATGAGCAAAAACTACTTAAGACTCAAATGTTTTGAATGGACAATTGCCCATCTCTCATTCTCTGGCTACGTCACTATCTTCATCAATCAATCTAATTTCATTCAAAAATAAATCTGCAGATTTATCTATTTTGATTTGAATTAGTATACCATTGCTAAAAGTCTTGTATTTCATGTCGTTCACGTATTATTGGATATTCGAAAGAAAGGGAGTAAGTGTGAGTGTCTCACACGCACCCGCGCCCATCAAAATTTTCAATCGATCTATTCATCGCTTTGTCACCAATATCTCTTTGAATATTCTATATTCTAAGCGTAATTTTTGCAGTCTATTTAGGATACAATTGAATTTCTTTGGGAGATTGAAATCATTTACTTTATCAGACTTGTGCAATTATCATAAACTTCAATAGTATATGAATGTATGTTTATGTAAAAATCAAAACTAACTAATCCGTCTTTTTACGAGTACATTTCTTCCAGATGAATAACATTTATTTTTCACGGAATCAAAGTTTAATTATGAATATAGTTCGTGTTCTTCAATGCATACTACCGTTAAATAATATAGTTTAATTTGACTATAATAATAAATATGTCAATGCTTTTTCATGACTGAGATAAAAATAATAATTACTATAGCATTTGAGAACATGTATAGTTAGATAATTTTGTTGCTTCTTGTTCTATGATGTTAATAACTAGTTTATCAAGTTGTTGTCGTTTTTTAAAAAAACAAATTGTTATACATTAGTAGATGCTTTCAAAATATATCATCATAAAGTTATGAAATTAAATTAATGTGTATTTTAAATAAGAGTAGATATAAAATGGTAATTATGAGTAAACAGACGATATGCTGAATATTGTAGCCGTTCTAATTCAATCGTTTTGATTGTATTTATAATTAAAATATTACGGATTAATTCTACACAAAATAATTCAGATGTTAACTCTAATGCTTTTTCTTAGTCATATATACTCAACAATTGCATTTTATCAATCGAGAAAAAGGCAAATAATTGTTAGTTTGCTAAGGAAAACATACTAAACAACGTGTTATAAAAGCCCTTCACAAGGTCATATTATATTAAAGATAAGAAGATTTCTAACAGAAAAAATCTTTTCATTAATCAAACAATTGTTCTTATAGTTTTCAATTAAAAATTCTGTTTGAATTAAAAGGATTTACATAAAGTATTTTCTTTTTTCTTTATTGCTTAAGGGAAAATGCCTATAATATTAAAGATAAAACCCATCGGAAATAATGAATAAAGCTTCGAAATATAGAAAAAGGAAATATACTATAACATAATGAGACCTTCACTATTCGTTAGTGGAAAAATCTTGCCTGTATATCATTATTAGTTTTTACATACAAAACCCATGCTTTACTTTAAATGTATGACATTTCTAAAAGAATTATTCATGTAAATAATTAGTAAATATCAAAGACTACATATGTTCTATTTGAGATTATTTAGAAATGAATATTTCTTATTTCATTTTTTCTCACTTCCGGCTACTGTCTCTGTAATTACTAATCTATTTACTGAGAAAAAAAGTAATTTTATCGTTCGGTACTTTAACCTCAATTGCAGAGAAAAAAGAACTGGAGGAACATGTTTCTAAACATATCTATAACCTTTATTATTAAGCTAAAAGTTATTCTAATTCATTGCTAGATTTAAAAACATTCAATAGATATCATAGATCTTTTGTTCATAGATTAAGTTGACATATTATGAATATAGATACTGACATGAAATGAAATCGTATTATTTTTGATGTGTTGTCAAAATGAACAAGTAACGCTCGTCCAAGGACTCGCTTAGCTCTTTCTCGTAGAAATGCATCCTCCCCACATTTACTGAAAAAACCATGAAAAATAGATTTTCGATGTTTTTTTGACCTTGCGGATAGACAAGCAAGCAAACAATTTATTTCTGCTGGACTCTTCTCTACGAGAAAGAGAATAAGTACTATTGAATGAATTGATTTGATGAATTTGAAATATAATTGAAAATAGAAATTGAATACGTAAGAATTTAGATCAATAAAAAAATCAGTTTTAACATATGACCTAGTCTGATTTTTTAGAAATACATCATTTGTATTCTTTCTAAAAAACTGGCAATAGAATAATAGTATTGCTATATCTAATCCTTTTTCTCCTATCTTCTAGTACGAGAAGAGAAAGAAAAATAGTTTCCGCTAACAAAAAAAAAGAATCTCAAAAGAGAGAAGAAAAACTAGTATATTACACAAAAAAACAAATCAAACGACATTTTTTCTTTCTACTAATATGACTGAACATATTGAACTCAAGCAACTTAACAGTAATCTTCGTTATCGTTTCGATTATTTATCTAAATTTCTTAATTTTACACCGGATGATATTCAATTGCTTAATAGATTTGCTGTTATTCTTCTTCCACGTATTCCCGTTGTTGCTGATACTGTCTATAGAAAATTACTTGGATTTGATATAACAAAACAATATTTTCTTATTCGTAATGATGGTTTTGAAGGTAATATAATAAAAAAACCTACAAGTTTAACAACTGAGTCAGCACAAATGACATTTCGAAAAGATATGTTAAGTCGATATTTAAAACGGGTGTTAACACAAACTGATTGGAATGATACATTTCTTCAATTTTTATCACAAGTTGGTAAAATGCATACAGATCAATCTGGTTCCGAATCAATTAATGTTGATTATATCCATATAAATGCATTATTTGGTTATCTTGAACATTTATTATTAGATATTCTATGGAGTCATGAAAATCTTGATGATAAAACGAAAAATTTAATGTTTATGGCAATAAATAAATATTTTTGGATACAAAATGATTTTTTTACAATGCATTATTTAAAAGTATGGAATGAAGAAGATTTAACTTCGAATGAACCAGCAGTAAATAAAACAAAATATTGTTGTCTTTAAAAATGACTTTTATGTTTTTCAAAAAAAAAAAATATCAATGTTGTCTGAACCGTAAGGCTTATTTTTAGAGAATGAAATTACATTGTAGGAACATTTGATTTCGAATAAATTATTATTTAAAAATATAAAATCATCCGATTTAAATTAAATATTTTTTTCCAATAATGTACTTGATGAAAGTTTTTTTTTCTTATTTAAGTTCATAAGCAAATAATGCTAATAATAGATTTTGAATTCTTGTTAAATATATTCATAAAAAGCAAGAAAAAGTACTTTTTTTCTTTTCAATTTTCATCATTCGCACTTGTATTATAAGGCTTCAACTTCTAATTCATACATTCACCTACGATTTTTTACAATAATATATATATATACTATCTATTCGAATAGTTTTTTCAACAGAGAATCAATAGACAATCATGTTGGACGAAGAAATCAATGAAAATGAAGGTTCGTATGAAAATATATGCGTTTTATTTATCTATACTTGATAAAAATATTTACGTATCAATCAATATTGAAACGGATCTGTTGTCATTTTTGAAGAAAAAAAAAAAGATGTGAAATATTTCATTTTTTGTTTTTACCTTCTAGCTTTATATGATAGTCAATCATCTATACTAACAAGTCCTTCTAGTTCAACTTGTTCAGATATGCCGAAAGTCAATCATAATAATTTTATCAAACATCGATTATCCAATATCGATGTCAATGATGTATCTTTATTAGAAACTAAACAAATACCGATAAAAGTCTTAACAATCAATGGCAAATGTTCACATATATTTAAATCAGCATTAGAAGATTGTGTTGAAGACTGTATTTTAGAATTTCCAGATGATCAAGATTCAATTTATGCATCAAAATCTAGAGAAACAATACAAATTCCTAATGAAAATAATCGAAATTCAATTAATACAAGATCATCTCATCAATATAATGCTCAAACACAAATCGGTAGTGGACGTAGTAGTACAACAAATAATCTTGTATTACCTTCTGTGAATCTCGCAACAACAACAACATCTGCACGTATGCGTCATCAACTTGTTAATAACATTTCCGAGAGAAAATCTTCTACAACACCTAAAAAATTTCATTCTGAACGTCCTTCTATCTTACCTAATGAATTAATTTCTTCAAAGTCTATACCAGAGATGACATCAGCTTCATTACCTTTATTTCCATCAAATAAAAAAAATAAATCTTATCGTGACAGTCAAAAAAATTATCGTCTCTCTGATTTAGTTATGCTTGGACCAGAATATTTTGCTGATGTATTTCATCTCTCACATCATCCATATCGAACTACGACAAAAACTGAACTTGATCGAATTAAACAAGATCTTTTCCATCGTTATTTATGGACACAAAAACCTCAAGTATCATGTCGTATTCGTCCTTTATCAATTTATACACGTACTCGAACACTTATTATCTAATTGTAAATAAAAACAAAACAATGAAATCAGTGTTATTTAATACGATTTGTTTTCCTCAAAATTTTGTATAAATATGATTTTGTAATGAGAGCGGCTTGTATGTACATCATATAGAATAGAAATCAAAACGTCTGTGACGTCCTGCCGATAAAGGACAAATGAGCTCGTTAAAACGGCTCTGCAGGAGAGTGTGAAACATTATCGGCATGCTTCAATGAAGTGAGTGAGTGAGTGAAGAGCAGATGATTATGTACAGAAGAGAGAAAAAAAAATGAATGAGAGAGAGAGAGAAACGAAGAAGAAAAAAATCTCGGAGAACAATTGTATTCATTCATTCTTCTTTCAATTGATCTTACTCATTCATATAGACAATCGACACAGCATACATTCATATGTATAATGCAGGAAGAAATGAAAAGTAGTAAAACGTAAGTTAACAAAAAAGAGATAAAGATTAAATCAAGGTAATATTTTTTCGATATTGTTTTCTAGTCTTCTTAGACCAATTGAAAGTCAAGATCAATTTGAATTTTTTATTGAAATAACTTCGACGCCAAAAACAAAATTTATTCAACCAACTTCATCAACACCTGTCAAAAAATCTTCATCATCTCATAGTAACAATAATAACAATAATAATAATACTCGTACATCAGTTCTTTCACGTCGAACATTAAAACGTACCTATTGTAAAAGTGCAATATTCTTTCGCCAATTGAAACGAACATTTTTGTAAATATTTCTTGTACAAAAAAAAACAACACATGATATTTATGCAGTGGATATTTTTTTTTTCATAACTAAAAAATAAATCATAATGATTGACACTTAACTGTGTAAAATAATTTTAGCCTTGAAAATAAGAGAAGTTGATTAAATATTAAAATTACTATTCTTCGATTTGAGAAAAATAAATACTCATTATTGGAATTATTTTTTCATTAAAAAATAATGAAATGCCAATCAAAGTATAGAGTCTTTTCAGAAGATGATTTGATGAAACAAAACTTAACCATTTAGGACATTCGACAAATCAATTAATTTAATAGTCACTTTTCGTTTTTTGATCTAATACGAAGTTTATCAATATTCTCTTTCTCGTAGAGAAGAGTCCATTAAAAATTAATTGTTTCCTTGCTTGTCTATCCCCAGGGTCAAAAAAACATTGAAAATCAATTTTTCGAATAAGACATTTCTAGAAGTATTTTAAGGCGGGGAGTTCGAATCTGAGGTCTGTTGGGTGACTATGGTCAGGAGAAAGGTCAAAAAATCATCGAAGACCGATTTTTTGCGGTTTTAAATTACTTTTCCAGTACATGTGAAGAGGATACATTTGTACGAGAAAGAGCTAAGCGAATCCTCGGACGAGCGTTGCTTGTAAATATCGATAGGACAAATTGAATTATAAATAAATAACTATTCGAATTGAACGAAGAATATTTGATTGTATAAATCATACTGATAAATCACAGATACTTTTTATTATTAAAAAAAAATAGAAAACAAGTCACACATATAATCACAATTGCTTTAATATTATTGCACTATTATTTTTAAAAAAATCATTACTCTTTTATTCGATTTAGTTTTTGTATTGCACTATAATTACTTCATGATCATTCCTGTGGTGAAAATCTTCGTTTTATCATAAATATAATTGCGATAACTCCGACTATAACGGGTAAAGCTAGACTAACAATTAATGCAATGGTAACGAATTGTTGTGTTGAATCAGGTTCGAGTAAATCAAGACCAGCGGTAAATTGAATAAATGTATAATTTGTCTTAGTAAAAAAACCTAGAATATTTAAATGAATAAAGAAAAATTGAATTTTTTTTGTCTACCATCATTTGCTTGACCAAGTGAAATATTGAATGCTGATACTTTCGGTTCAGAAAGAAGTGCAAAAAATATTCCTTGATCATTTTCTTTATCAAGTGTAAAATTATTATTTATTTCATAAACTTGCATTAATGTATTTTGTTCGATTGTTCGATCTTCACTTTGATATACAACAGGTTTCCATAGCATAGATGCTGGATTTGATGAATCCATTGTTCGCAATTGATATACATTAAAAATACCTATGAAAATATTCACAATTTAATATTATGTCAGATAAAGTATGGTTTGTTTTGACTAGCGAACGAGAAAATTAAAGACTGATTTTAGTAAAACAGAGACTTCAGCAATGGGAACTTGGGTTTTCTCAAAAGACTGCATACAATCAGCGGCGTACCGATGTGTCGAGGGCAGGGGGGGGGAGTCACAGCACAAATTTTTGCGAGTAAAAAAACCGAAAATTTTTCTAAAGTAGGAGGGGGTGTTACGCCCCACACGCCCTTGCATATAACTTAAAGAGAGTTCGTTCATGAAGATCCTACTGTTTCCTTACGAATAAAACAGTATGGAATGATTATTATAAATCACTTCAGGCAAAAAAGTATTTTTCTTCAAATCCGTAATGCTAATTCGTTTCTATAAGCATATTATTTACCTGGTGTATATTGATCATCAATAAATTTTGATGAGAATATACGTGAACCTTCAGTACCCGGTAATATTTGAAGTATTTCAAAAGCAAATCGGGTTTTTGATGAAGAAAATTTATTGGCTTGCACAGCAATATTAACAAACAAACTTTTTGGTGCCGTTTTTAATTTAGGAAATTTCGTATCACGTGTTGTTGCACCAGGATAGACAATATCAATACTTAGTGAACCATTCAACTAAAACACAACAAAAAAAAAAGAATAAAGTAATTTGTTTGTATCGTTCTGAAAAATTTTCTTTACCATGTCTAATGGTAATTGAAATGTTGGTTGCTCTGTATTATCTTGAAAAGTTGCATTAGTTGTCTTTATATTACTTATAAAATATGAATCGATTGTAGTATCATTTACACCCATCTTACCATCATCGTTTATATCATTAAATTGAATTAAACGACGGAGAACTAACGTCAAAGAATTATTTAGTTTTCCACCGTGAAAATCAATAGCATTCGTATAATTCTTTTCAAATAAAGCTGCGTAATCAAATGTTGGATTTACACCTTTGGCTGTTTGGAATATACTAATTGTTATTTCATCAAATGATGAATAAATTATATGAACTGTATTATCATCAATATCATTTTTTGCATAGTATAATGCTTGATGATTAAATTCTTTACATTCAGGTCGATCACAACCTGGATTTCTAGTAAATGGTACAGATGTATAGATAATATTTGGAAGACAAATAATAGAAAATACGATAACAAGAGAATTCATGATGAAATATATCTAAAAAATAAAAGGCGATAGAATAAAAAGACAACAAACTAAGTGATTAGTATTTTACAGTCAATGATTAGTATAAAATTTTGTGTTGAACGATTATTGTATCTGCTTAGTAACCACTGCAAGGAAGATTAAGTTCGCTGTTCCTGAAAATTCTAATCCAAAAATCGAGTTCTTGGAGTCTTTTGCAACTGTATAAAGCAATCGAACCATTAAACTACTAGATACGAGGGTAAGGGAGTTCAAGGTTCTACTCTTAAACACTTCAACATTCTCTATTAGATCGTGTTTCACAAAAAAACGATTGATGGACATAGATCTAAGATTTTTCGCGTCTACCCCCGGATTTAACAGTTCTGCTACCCCTGACAGTTGCAAAAGACTTCAAAAATCCTATTCTAGGATTAAAATTTTCAGGCACATCGAACTTAACCTTTCTTGCAGTGGTAACTAAGCAGATAGAATAATTATTCAACACTAAATTTTATACTGATCCTGTAAATACAACCCGAATAAAAATATCTTTAAATTTCATCAAGTTTTGTCATTTGTTCACTTAGTAACCATAAACGTCGATTATCTTGTTCATCAAGAGCTTTATCTGATGGTTGTACTTCGGTACAATCACTAAATTACATAGAATATTCGATAGATAAAAATTTCAGAGGAATCGAATGAAACCTAAAATATTTGCCGGTGACATTATCAAGCTTAATATCACTTGCTAAATAAATCGTTGTTTGTGCACCTTCTTCAGTATTTTTAAAAAAAAACCATAGAATAGGAGATAGTATTTTCAAGAATAAACGAAAAATATGCTGATAACGACCGCCAATATTATGACCAAGATCTGTTTTTATAACACCTAAATATTATTTCGTAAGTCATATACATGTACATATCATATTCACTTACCCGGATGAAGACTATTCGCTGTAATATTTGTTCCTATAATAATAACTCAAAAATTTTTCTTATGAATAAAATTATTTAATACCTTTTAATCGTTTAGCTAATTCATTTGTAAACATAATATTAGCAAGTTTACTGCGTGCATATATATAAAACGGTGTATAGGATTCTTTTTCTAAATTAATATCATCCCAATGTATTTGACAATTAAAAACTAGAAAATAATTAAATTTATATGAAAAAAACTTTTAAATCAAATATACTTGCATTTATGTGCCAAAGCTGAAACATTTATAATTCTAGCTGATGGTGCCTTTTTTAATAGATCTAATAGGAGATTAGTAAAAAGAAAATGACCAAGATGATTAGTAGCTAAATGTATTTCATAACCATCAATAGATTTTTCATGAGATTCGGTTAAAACACCTGAACAAAAAAAAAAATAATAAGTAGAAAATTAAAACTAAATAATATACCAGCATTATTAATTAATACATCGATTCTAGGTAATCGTTTTTTTAATCGTGAAGCACATTCACGTACTGATTGAAATGAAGATGTATCAAGAATTTCGATATCAATATGATTATTATTAGATTTAATTTGTATTTCTTTCTTTGCTGTTTCTGCTCGTTCTTGATTTCGACATGCTAGAATAATATGTGCACCTATATTAGATGATTAAAAAGAACGAAAATTTTAGTTTGATAAATAATTAATAAATAACCTCGTTTAGCTAATTCAATAGCTGTATATTTTCCAATGCCTGTATTACTTCCAGTAATAACAACGATTTTATCATCCATACGATCTTTTGATGGACATCGTGTACCTGACCAATACAATTTTTTCGAAGCATAAAGAAGACTTACTGAAAAGGAGATTATTCAAAAAGGACATATTATAGTTATAATTCTAATTTTAATAATTACAATAAAGGTAATTCCGAATTATTACTCATAAAATCTTTGAATTACTATATATACGGCTTGTCCGCGTAACGGTCACCCTAGGTGATTAAAGTAGAA